GTATCCTGTTGCTTTTGGGTGGAGTATTCTGTAGATGTCTGTTAAGTCCATCTCTTCTAATGTGTTGTTCAGTGCCTCTATCTCCTCACTTATTTTCTGTCTTGTTGATCTCTCCTTTGGAGTGAGTGGTGTGTTGAAGTCTTCTACAAGAATGCATTGCATTCTATTTCCCCTTTAATGCTGTTAGAATTTGTTTCACATATTTAGGTGCTCTTATGTTGGGTGCATAAATATTTTTAATGGTTATATCCTCTTGTTGGATTGGCCCCTTTATTATTGTGTAATGTCCTTCTTTGTCTCTTGTTACTTTCTTTGTTTTGAAGTCTATTTTGTCTGATACAAGTACTGCAGCTCCTGCTTTTTTCTCCCCATTATTTGCATATCTCCTTCCATCCCTTCACTTTTAGTTTGTATATGTCTTTGGGTTTGAAGTGAGTGTCTTGTAGGCATCATGTAGATGAGTCTTGTTTTTTTTATCCAGTCAGTGACTCTGTCTTTTGATTGGTGCATTCAATCCATTTATATTTAGGATGATTACTGATGGATATATACTTATTGCCATTGCAGGTTTTAGATTCATGGTTACCAAAGGTTCAAGGGTAACTTCTTTACAATCTAACAGTTTTAAACTAGCTCAGTACACTATTTCTAACACAGGCTAAAGGGTCTTTTTTTTTCTCCCTTATTTTTCTTCCTCCTCCACTCTTTATATATTAGGTGTCATATTCTGTACTCTTTGTGTATCCCTTGACTGACCTTGTGGGTAGTTGCTTTAATTTTGCATTTGCTTAGTAATTAATTGGTCTACTTCCTTTACTGTTGTTTTATTTTCTCTGGTGACATCTATTTAGCATTAGGAGCACTTTCATCTATAGTATTCCCTTTAAAATATACTGTAGAGATGGTTTGTGGAAAGTAAAGTCCATTAGCTTTCACTTATCTGGAAATTGTTCAATCCCTGCTTCAAATTTAAATGCTGATCTTGCCTGGTAGAATATTATTGGTTCAAGGTCCTGCTGTTTCATTGCATTAAATATATCATGCCATTCTCTTCTGGCCTGTAAGGTTTCTGCTGAGAAGTCTGATGATAGCCTGATGGGTTTTCCTTTGTATGTGATCTTTTTTCTCTCTCTGGCTGCTTTTAACACTCTGTCCTTGTTCTTGATCTTTTCACTGTAATTATATGTCTTGGTGTTGTCTTCCTTGAGTCCCTTGTGTTGAGAGATCTGTGTACTTCCGTGGCCTGAGAGACTATTTCCTTTCCCAGACTGGGGAAGTGTTCAGCAAATACTTCCTCAAAGAGACTTTCTATTCCTTTTTCTCTCTCTTCTCCTTCTGGTACCCCTATAATGCAAATATTGTTCTCTTTGAATTGGTCACACAGTTTTCTTATTATTCTTTCATTCCTAGAGATCCTATTTTCTCTCTTTGCCTCAGCTTCTTTGTATTCCTGTTCTCTAATTTCTATTTCATTTACCATCTCCTCTACCTTATGTAATCTGCTTTTGAATCCCTCCGTTGTATGTTTCATTTCAGATACTGTATTTTTCAAAATTTCTGTCTCCTTGAAGTCCTGTCTGAGATCTTCAATATTTTTCTGTAGTTCTGTATGTCTATGATTTTTATTTTAAATTTCTTTCAGGAAGATTGGTGAGTTCAGTTTCATCTGGCCCTCTTTCTGGTGTTTGTGAGATTTTGTTTTTTACCAGGTTCTTTTGCCATTTCATATTTGTATTTATTATTGTGGAGTAATAAGTTTGTGTAGGCGACACCCTCTAGTGCCCAGAAGCTCTGCTCTCTGGAGCTGCTCAGCCCCCGGAGTGATGGCAAGGGTCTCTGGCAGGCAGTGCCTGTTCTTGCTGGGAGGAAATCTTTACAATCAAACAGTTTTAAACTAACTCACTTAGTACAGTATTTCTAATACAATTTAAGGTTCTTTTTTTTTATCCTCACTTCTTTTTCTTCCTCCTCCACTCTTTATATATTAGGTGTCATATTCTGTACTCTTTGTGTGTCCCTTGACTGATACACAAGTGCCTCCTGGCCACAGTACTGTCTCCACTACCAGGACCAGTGGGCCGAGCATGCAGGGAGCAGCTTATTATTTATGCCCGGTACTGCCATAGGTGGAGCTGCCCTCCAGCTGGCCCAGTGCGATGACAGGGGTAGCAGGTTTGCGAACTGGTGTCAGCTGGGAGGAAGGAGTGTCAGACTGCATATTGCAGAGGGGGTCCTGGCACTGTGTTGCTAACCATGGAGGTGAAGCACCTGAAGCTCCTGCAAGTTCCCAACCTGCTGGGCTGAGTGTGCCAGGATGATTTTGTCCACCTGTCCTTTCTCCTGAGCAGCAAGCTCTGTATAATCCTTGCCCATTTAGCAGCCCTCCCACTGGTGGGAAGTCTTTCAAAGTGCTGCCTTTCTTTTGTCCTGGAATGGGCTGTTGTGGGTACCTGTTCTCCACCAGTGACTGGAAATCAGTCTCTCTAAGTATTCCACCTGTCTTAGCTTTCCAACCTCACTAATCTCCAGAGCACCATGTAATGTGGGCTGGTGCTCCTGGAGCAGACCCCCAGGGCTAGGTGTTTAACAGTCCTGTGCTTCTACTCCATCCCTGCTCCATTTCTCTTCCTCCCACCTGTGAGCTGTGGTGGGGGAGGGCTTGGGTTGCGCTGGATCACAGATTTGGTACTTCACCCTTTTCCATGAGGTCTTCTCTTTTCCCCAGATGTAGGCTGCCTGCTTCAGTCTTTTCTCCAGTCACTCTTTCAGGATTAGTTGTATTTGCTGTATTTTCATGTTATATGTAGTTTTGGGAGGAGGTTTCTGCCTCACTTCTCAGGCCACCATCATTTTCACCCTCTCATTAATACTGTATTTTAAAGTGGGATCCTTGGCTTTGGGAATGGGCAAAGTAAGCATTATAGAATATTTACAGGTTTAACAACTTTTAGGAACAGAACAATTCTGAAGAAGGCTGCTTAGCTTGAGACCTTAGCAGACCTAGGGCCCAGCTCTCGTGAAAAATCACTTGTTAGAACTTCAGTTACTTGTAGTGATCCTTTGTTCTCATATCTTCTTGGGACATACTACCAGGATTGGCACCAGCAGCTGCCCATGAAACTTATCAAGGGTAGTTGGGTAGGAGAGAGGTCAGGTCACACTGTTATTACGAAGTGTAGAGCATTGATCTCTCCCCTGAAGAGCAGGGCAATAAGAGGTAATTATTTCCATTATGTGGAGCTGTGTTACCTTAGCTTCTTCTAGGTTGTAAGAAATAGGTTGACTTGGTTTACTTTAGAGGTTTGTTGTAAAGAATGTATTTCAGTTGGCCTTCATGAACATCTGACTTTATTGCGGACACAAGCGTAGCCCTGCTGTTATCTTTTTGTCCTCTAGCTCATTTGCTACCAGCTCTAGTGTTTCCACCATATCTCTCTCTGTTCTCTACTTCCACTCTATTTCTCTGGTGACTCTAAACTCTAGAATTCATTCTCTGTCTCTCTTAGCTTCATACTTCTTAAGAGAAAGGATCAAATTGGGTTGTTCAGTCATTTTCCAGTTGAGCAACGATCTCATATGTTACCTCTAAGGCCCCTTTGGGTCAGAAGCTGATCCCTTATCTCACTCATTTGTAACCAGAGTTTAAGTGTTTCATCATCTAAGTTACAGTCATCATAATGAAAGAATTGTCCATGGTCACATTTCTGGATAAGGTAGATATTCGGAGCATCCTACTAACGGGTCCCAGTCACTGGGAAGTTTCAGCTTGAAGGAGAAAGTACTATATGTGCATGGGATGTATTCTAGCCTCCATGCATTGCTGACCAATAACAGTTACCTTCACTTGTCCTGGTTCTATAACCTTTTATAGAAGTCAGTGTTTTAGAGACTAATAGCAACTCAGATATATTATACCTCTGATTTTCATCCCTTTTACTAGATTTTTTAAGGCTTTTGTTATAATTAATAAAGTCTTATTAAAGCATCAAAATGTATACTTAGAATGTATTCACGTAGCTGAGCCATTAAATAGGATTAGGAAAAAGAAAAGAATAGTTTGTTGTGACCTGCAGCACACCTAACAGAAAGCAGCTTTGAATGCAGGTCTTTCTGGCACTTTCTCTTTAGCTGGTTTAGCAGGGTAAGATCCTGAGACCTTGTAAGATTTATGTATGAAAGCCTTCTTTGGGGGTGGCATACTTTCCTAGATGCCAAGTAGCTGAAAAGAATGACATTTTTTTAGGTGGTCATTGTATCTACTTGATTTTCCAAGAAAATTGGGGAAGACATTTGAGATGATGACAGACTGGCTTTTAATGTTTGCTGAAATGCATGGAGAGTCAGGTGCTAGTTTTGAAAGGCATTACAAAGTAAACAGCATATCTTGATTTCATTAATAGCTTCACTCAACTTATATTAGAGGAAATCACCATGTTATTATTCTCATTTACCAAAGACTGGTGAAAAGTTTCTAATGGACGGGAATCACTGGGTAATATAGATGGACTCTCAGCTGGTTGGTGACTGTAAAAGAGTGCTGCTGCGGTCCTGAAGGGAAAAATACTAGACTAAGGGCTTGGACCATATCACATCCACAGAGTGCCTTTGCCAGATCTGAAGCCTGGAGGAGGAGATGGGGGATTGGAGGAGGAAAGGATGCCCAGAAGGCCCCCTGGATCTGGGTGATGGACATTGAAAAGATTATCAATGACTCTAAGCAAGAAGGACATTCTTTGAAGCTCTCTGGGCTTTGTTCTGGGACTAAGAAGGAAAGTGCATTCTCAGAATTCACCTCTTCCTCTGTTCCTTCCAGTGAAGGTCAGAGAAAGAAAGCAGCTGACTCATTGTATGTAAGAGACTTTGTTTTGGAATGTAATATTGTCTATCCTCTGTGGTTAGTGATTGTAGCTTAAACAGAGGGGAAAACCTGACCTCAGTCCTAGGGTTCTCTGTTTTAGAATTGCTTTGTCCCTAATTTTACTTTTCTTTTCTTCCTGTAGGCTGCTTAATAGGGGCTGTGAATCTCAAATCCAGCAACCGAAACCCAGTGGTACAGGAATTTGAAAGTAAGTATAAGGGAACCTATTAGGAGAAGGGCGCCATCTAATGGACATTTAGTGGTCTTGCAGCCAACTCAGGACAAACACCTATTTATAGTGCCAAAGAGATGCTCAGGTGGGGGCTACTCAGTAACACATTTGATGTGAACGGGTGTCAAAAAACACTGTGTTAGTGGTCCAGCAGAGAACACTGCAGCCTTTGGTTGGCTAAAATCTGATTCCTGCCCTGGCTTTGTGCTTGCACAACGAAGAAATTTCTTTTATACAAGTGGAATATTATGGGGAGACATGTACTCTATTTAGTAAAAGCCCTTGTTAATCATCTTTAGTATTTTTCTAGCTACAATTCATCTTTTCTTAAATCCTCTGGAGCTTGGCGGTCACTTTTTAATCTGTGTGAAAAACCTCTCTAAAGCTAAAGATAGCTTGCAGGGTCTGGGTATACAAGTGAACCTAAAGTTGTTCCACATTCACAGAATTCTGTGGGTTTTTTTATTCTTCTTCGTCAGGTGTGGAACTGTCTTGTATCATTACGGATTCACAGACGAATGACCCCAGGATTGAATGGAAGAAAATTCAAGATGACCAGACCACATATGTGTTTTTTGACAACAAAATTCAGGGTATGATCCCGTAGCCCTCTTCTTTGCCCACAGGACCAGGCATACACTCGGGGCAGGAGACTGTCCTTGGATTAGTCCTGCACTAGCCAGGATGGCTCTTTTGTTTTGCTTATGGAAAACTCAAACATGCAAATGTAATGAGAATAGTGTATGGAGCCTCCCTGTACTGTCACCTGGCTTCAACAAATACCAGTTCATTTGTTAGGATTTTAATCTATTTGTAATCCATCTTTCTGAAGTGTCAGAGTGACATTTCCTAGACCACCATCTTACCATTATCTGTGGCCATAGTGATGCATGTTTAGTGAGTGAATCAGAAGGGTCATGGGAAGCAGCAGGGAGACAGCAGGTTATCTACTGAGCATGTGCTGTGTGCCAGGCATTCACACGAGAAAGTGCTTGCTACACCAGTTAGCAGGATCTTGTCCTGTGCCAGAGAGACAAGCTTAGGGTACTCTCAGATTACATGAAGTTGGGGCAGGACAGTTGGGCAGAGAAGGCTTCCCAGAGGTGACATCTCAGCAGAGACATGAAGACAGGCTCGTAAGTCGGATAGATGGTGAGAGGTGTGGCAGAGGAGTTGTGTGTGAAGATGTGGGAGCAAAAGGTAGCTTGGCTTATTGGAGAAACTCTAAGTTCTTCTCCATCCTGGGGCTTTGAGAGGGAAGGGGACGGGGAGTGACTTGGCAGAAGCTGCAGAGGTGACCACGGCCAGGTGAGCAGCCCTGAATGCCACTGGTGAGAATGGAGAGTCCAAGGGTCCCCTGAGAGATTTAAGGGGAAATGACATGACCTCATCCACGCTTTAGGACTGCCTTGGCTGCTTTGCAGAGAGGAGATTGGAGATGGGCAGGCTTGGAGCAGGGCCCCCAGTTCAGAGTTCCTGTCAGGTAGTGCGGGGAGATGCGGAGGAGGCTGTGAGAAGTCACTGGTGGCCTGCCCCAGGGTGCTGCATCATTCTGACAGGACGCACGCAAGGGAGTTCGATGGGGTGGCTTTGGAGTTCCCAGAGAAGCTGATACTGAAGTTTCAGAGAAGGAAAGAAATGTTTTAGAAATACCTAAGCTCATAGTCTCCCTGCTTCGGGCCTCAACACCATCAGAGGTCACAGGCCCTCACAGGTACTTTTGCTTCCCACCGGTATCCTCCCCACCACCACTGAGCTTTGAAGAGTTGGAAAATCTTGGAAAACCAATCAGTTTTCTCTGGCAACTCAGGCTGTTCTTGATAAATCCAGTGCATGCAATTGTGACCGTCACAGAAACCAAGTGGCAGTCTTTTTCAAGAACTTTGTCTCTGGGAATCAACACCTTACCTGTAGTGGCGGGATGGGGGGGTGCTCACCACACAAAGAAGTGTGAGGGCTGCGGGAGAACCTTCCTGGTCCCTTCTCTGGCCTCAGTGCAGGGCTGTACAAAGTGCCTGGACAGAGTTTTACGTGTTATTTTCTTACATGGTAGAAATTCAAATCTTCTGCAGATAACTACTGCATAACAAACCTTCCTATGAGAAAGTGCCTTTGGAAATGTTTGCCCTCTATGTTAGGCACTTTGCTATGTATTATATTGTGGTATATCCTTCCTATAATTGTCACCAATCAGCAGGTTTAGTCATAATTAGTTTCTGGGTTTTTTGTGTGTCATTTCTTTCTAACTCTGTACCTTATTTGCGATTCTTCAGGTTCTTCATGCTTCTTTGAAAGAGTTACTGTCTTTTTATGCTTTAAAAATTTTTTCAATTGAGATAAAATTCATATAGCATAAAGTTATTTTAAAGTGTATATACTTCAGTGATTGTTGGTACATTCAACAATTGTACACCATCACCAATTTCAAATCTCACAGTTCATCAACCCCAGAGGAAACCCTGTGTCCGTTAGCAGTCACTCCCCACCCTTCCTAGCCCTACCGCCTGGCATCTGCTTTGTCTCTGTGGACTTGCCTGTTCTGGGCACTTCATGTGAGTGGACTCTTATAATCTGTGGTCCTTCCTGACTTCTTTCATTTAGCATATTGTTTTCAAGGTTCACCATGTTGTAGCATGTGTCAGTACTTCACGCCTTTGTATGTGGATGAATAATATTCCATTATAGTTCTGCCAAATTTTTTTATCTATTCAATTGTGTACATTTGGGTTGCTTGCATTTATTGGCTGTTACTGATAATGCTGCTATGAACATTCATGTACAGGTTTTTGTTTGAACATAACTTTCCTTTCTTGGGGATGAATGACCAAGAGTACAGTTGCTAGGTCATATGACATTGCATGTGTAGATTTTTTTTAAGAAACTACTGAAGTGGCTGCACCATTTTATATTCCTCTGGCACTGTGTCCCCACATCCTCACTAACACTTATTATTGTCCATCTTTCTGATTCTAGTCATCCTAGTGGATGGGAGGTGTTATCTGTCTCATAATAGTTTTGATTTGCATTTCCCTGATGTCTAATGATGTTGAGCATCTTTTCATGTTGTTATTGGCCATTTGTATATCTTCTTGGAGAAACATCTATTGAAATCCTTTGTCCATTTTTGATGAGGTTGTCTGTTGTTGAGTTGCAAATACTTTATATATATATTCTGGATACTAGGCCTTTGTCAGAGATATGATTTGCAAATGTTTTCTCCCATTCAATGGATTGTCTTTTCTTGTGTCCTTTGAAGCACAGAAGTTTTAAATTTTTTATGAAAGTCCAAGGCCAATATAATGAATTGTTTTGTGCTTGTGCTTTTGGTGTCATATATAAGAAATCACTGCCTAATCCACGGTTAAGATGATAATGTCGGTTTTTCCCTAAGTTTCATAGTTTTAGCTCTTACATAGACCTTTGTTGTCTGTGCGGTGAGGCCAGGAGTCCAATGTCATTCCTTTGCATGTGGATGTTTAGTTGGCCCAGCACCATTTGTGGAATGCTGGTTGTTTTTTAATGTTATTTGCTTGATTTTTTTCTCTTTTAATGGGGAATCCCTGCTGGGAATTTTGAAAAGGAAACAAGGCCTCTGCTTTAACAACAGAGACCCACATAGTGAGTCTTCTTACACACCAGGTGCTATTTTGGTGCTCCATGTCCTCCAAGAACTCACCTTTTGCTATACAGGCACAGAAATAAAGCCAATCTGCAGTCTTCTTACTGAGGCATCAAATGCTGACCCCCAGAAACCGCCTTCTTCGAGTGGCAAAGATATCTTTAAAGACTGTTTTAATGTCTTATACCTTCTCTTCTGTAGGAGATTTGGCAGGTCGTGCAGAACTGTTGGGGAAAACCTCTCTAAAGATCTGGAATGTGACCCGGACAGACTCAGCTCTTTATCGCTGTGAGGTGGTTGCTCGAAATGACCGCAAAGAAATTGATGAGATTGTTATTGAGTTAACTGTGCAAGGTAGGAATTCATAGGAAGTTAAAACGTTCCCCCCCACCACCCACTTTTAAGCCTCATTAGTCTTTCTGCAAAGTAAAAGAAAGAAAAACTTATATTTTCTTTCCTTCTAGAGCTATATCCCTGAGGGTATTGCATTGCATGACTTAGTAGGAGGCGATTTTGGTAACTAAGACTGTCGAGCTGGGGTAGATGGTGGGAAGGGAAGTGCAGCTTTATCTGCCACCCACACGGTGCTCCTTGGGAGGTGGAGGCATGGGGAGGCAGCACGGATTGTACGTGGAGTGAGCCAGGGGGTAGATGCAGGCCACAGACCCCAGTCTGCAGGGATGGAGAAGTGCAAGAATCCTTTGGCTGGCTTTCTTGTTTTGGGGGCAGATTTACTGTGGGTTTTGGTAAGAGTGGAGCCATATTGCTGATTTTGAACACCAACCTGTACTTCTCCTGCAGTGAAGCCAGTGCCACCTGTGTGCAGGGTGCCAAAGGCTGTGCCTGTGGGCAAGACAGCAACGCTGTACTGCCAGGAGAGTGAGGGCCACCCCCGGCCCCACTATACCTGGTACCGCAACGACGTGCCACTGCCTACAGACTCCAGAGCCAACCCCAGATTTCGAAATTCATCTTTCCTTTTAAACTCTGAAACAGGCACTCTGGTAAGATCTCTGCTGAGAGGTGAGGATGGAAATGTGTTTGCTGGGGTGAGGGACACCTGCTGTGGAAAGGGCATTTATTAGGGGAGACAGCAAACCTTCCTGGTATCTAAAGATCCATGTTGGAGAGTGTTCAGGACTCCTGCTTGAAACAAGTTCTAGGTGTAAGACGAAGAAGGACAGGAAGCTGTAGAGTATAACTGACTGATGGGGAGTGCCAGACAAATGTCAGGGGTAGGGATCCTTAGGATCCTGATATGAATGACCAACTAAAAGTCACAACACCAGCAAAAATTTAATTACTGGCTGGGTATTTGACATTAAGGAATTGTTTATTACTTTAGGCACAATAATGGTATTGTAGTTAGGATAAAAAAAATCTTTATCTTCTAGAAATACATACTGCAGTGTTATGGATAAAATGTCTGAATTTGCTTTAGAATAACCCAGTGTGGGTGGTGGGAAGTAGGTGGCAGGAGATGAAATGAGACTGGTCATGTGCAGAGGACAGACTGCCCTCAGCAGCATATCACACCAGGCTTTCGCTGCATCTGGTCTCCAGACTGTGGTGTGTCTGATACATGTGATAACAAGTCAGGTAATAATAGCATCCTCTGTATTTATATTGCCAAGGTATTGCCTGTGGAACAATCATTATCAAAGAGGCCCTTTTCCTTAATAAAAGTAAAGCTCAGCATCTCATTCTGGATGTTGCTAGGCTTAGCTACCTGCAAACAGCAAAGGGGTTTCAGTGTTTGGGAGTTCGTGGGCAAGACCATTGGGACAGGGGATCAGGAAAGAACCTGGATGGTGACTAGGAAGCTGGAGGGAAACTGAGAGCGAATGAGCAGACGTTTCACTGCATCCTGGACTCAGCAGGTAGGGTGGGCCAACCTCTTATTTCCAGTTCCCCCAGATCTGGCCTGGCCTGTTGATGCGTCTTGTCATTTGCTTGTCATTTCCTGAAACAGGTTTTCAGCGCCGTCCACAAGGAGGACTCTGGGCAGTATTACTGCATTGCTTCCAACGATGCAGGCTCAGCCAGGTGTGAGGAGCAGGAGATGGAAGTCTGTGAGTTGCTTTTTGAAAAGATTTCATTTGAAGCCTGGCTAGTGGGTAGAACATTTTAAATTTAGTACTAGGTCATCAGTTTAGACAATTGCTCTGCCATGGGTCAGCTTTCTTCTGGCGATGACTAGATCCACCAAAACCCCCTTGGGTACATTGAAAGATGAAAGTTTCAGCTAAATTTAGCAGCTAAATGACTAATAATTGGGCTCTTGCAATATGTTTATCTCCTCAAAATATACTTTCTAGAGCCTTCTGATGTTGGAAACATGGCTGATCACGTAACTTTAACTTAGTTTATTAAACTCCGTTTCTTTGATCATTGATAGAATTGTCGGAACAAGGTTATATAAGGTCTCCAGAAATGTACCCAGTTGTAGCCATTTTGCAGCAAGCTGAAACCCAGAGTCTCGGCCCCAGTAACTTTACCCTGTTCGGTGAAGATGCTGTTGCTGAAGGAGGGTTTTGGGCGCAGGACGGGAGATGGGGGCAGAAGCACTCGGGAAGCTTTGTGAGTCCCCGTGTGCAAGCACCCACTAGAGCGGTGTCTCCGGACTGGCCGGGTCACTTGGGACCCCTGTTCCACATACAGATCCCCGCATGTGTGGAATCGGTGTCTGTCTTCTCATCCATCTTATTTGGGAAACTGCTCTAGGGCAGGAGGAAGATTCCTGGGCTTTATCCCAGACCTGTTTAATCTCTGGGACGGAGCTTGGGAATCAGCATCTTAAAATCAAAGTTTCAAATTGATTTTTAAATGTACACTCACATTCGAGAATCACTGCACTAGGGAAAGGAAGAATTTTAACTTCCAAGTTCAGTTGCCTTGTGTTGATGTTCCCCTGCATGATTTTCCATTGCATTTCTGTTTGCGTGAAGGGAACAGCCCCCAGCGTCCCCACACTGGATGGACTGAGTACCTTAGCCCAGCATACAGAAACGGGCAGGGAGGCAAGGATTTCCTGTGAGAGGGCTTGTGTATATGAGGCTGGGCAGCCAGTGGGTGCAAGGTCACATCATCTCATAGCTTTGCTTTTAAGTACTGCCTGCAACTAGCTCTCTTCCCCCGTATAATCCACAGCAAAGGGAAGCCCTGGAAACAAGTTTTTCTTCCTTAGGCCTACTGGCTCAATTCTGTCTTTATAGTGTAGTCATTCCTCCACCTATAATATTCTCAGGGAGTTGGAGGACTTTCAACCTTTTATACAATACCAAGCCCCTTTTAATACAGCCGTGAAGCCTAACAGCATCTGCACTGCAGCGGCCGCAGCACTGCACGAGCGGGAGCAGGGGTTTTGGTGTACGTCTTAGGCTCGAAGCTGAGGTGCTCTCACTTTGGTTTTCTGGCTGCAGTGGACTTGAGGGGCAGAGTGGGGAAGTGGAGGGGGGCAGGAGGAAGGAGGCATAGCAGGATCAGGGGCTTTTGTACGACCAGCTGGTGTGTGTCGTCTTGTCTCTCGACCTCCCCTTTCTCCAGATGACCTCAATATCGGCGGGATTATTGGGGGGGTCCTGGTTGTCCTTGCTGTCCTGGCCCTGATAACAGTGGGCATCTGCTGTGCATACAGGCGTGGTTACTTCATCAACAATAAACAAGATGGGGAAAGGTAAGCCTGTCTTACATGAAAAAAGAAAGTTCAGGTTGGCACTAAGGTGATAAATCGGTGCCCTGAAGTGCTGTCTCCTCCTGTTTCACAGTTACAAGAATCCAGGGAAGCCAGATGGAGTCAACTACATCAGGACAGATGAGGAGGTGAGTGAGGGAACAGAGCAGACTCATTTAGGAAACCTAGAAATTGAGGTGTTCTCAGCAGGGAAAGTGCCATTTGTTGTTGGAGCCAGGTGGGTCCCACAGGAAAAAAAGATTCCTGATTTATATTCCAGATCCTGAGCTTTTAGCACTTCCCAGCAATGTCTGTGCACACTGATGGCATCCACAGTCTGCAGGCTCTTGTAGATGTTGTTAAGAATGACAATTTGTTTGATTTGCTGTTTCTTCTTCAGGGAAGTGGTCCCTTAGATTGAACTACCATGTTTCGTTCCAGCTGTTTTGCTAGGGGCCCGTGGATTGGTAAGGACAGCTGGGTTCTGACTTCCTGTTGGCTTTGCAGGGTGACTTTAGGCACAAGTCCTCCTTCGTGATCTGACGTGTGACGACGTGGCCCAGGGAGTGCACGCGAATACCTCCACTAGCAGTGCCCGCGACGAGCAGCCCAGGCAGTGCCTCCGGAGAGCTGGGTACCTGTGCAAAAGCTTTGTTTTGGCCAAAGTTGACCGCTACTCCCTTCTTACTATTTAACAAGCCACAAGAATAAAAGAATTTTCCTCAAGATGGGCACAGTCACCACAGGAAAAGAAACCAAGGGAGTTCACTGAGGCTGGTTCTGTTTCTGGCCTGGCTCCCCCGAGGGCTAGGGTGACCCGAAGCTCTTGCTCACGGGCTCTGCTGGGCTGGCACCATGGGCTTGAGAAACCATGTCATTTTTCACTCAGTGTCATCTGCAGGGTGAGCCCCACGTGAGGGGCAGTGAGGCAGCCGTGAGCACCAGTAGTGCAGGTCTTGGAAATGTTAACCGTGGCTCAAAACCCTCTAGCTCTAGAGTCTGAATCGGTGCATCCAGGAAACAGGCTTTTCATATACAATGACCTTGTTTCACAGAGGCCCACAGACAGCACCACCCCATTTCTTCTCAAAGGCTTTGTTCAACAGTGTTTTGTGTCCATCTTGGAGAATCTCTTTGGGTCAGCATTTTGTAAGAACAGCCAAAGTCAAGAAGGTAAATCGCTTGTTGCAAGAAGGGGTCCTCCCTGTGGGAACCCTGCTTGTCCATGGAGGGTTTCAGTATTTAAGCAAAACCTTCATTTTAGGCTAAATCTGAAATGGTACTGAAATAATGTTCTGCTTTTCTATGGTGGTTTATTTTATAAAATTTTACATTCTAAATTTTTGCTAAAGATGTATTTTGATTATTGAAAAGAAAATTTCTATTTAAACTGTAAATACATTGTCATACAATATTAACCTATTTTTTTAAAAATATTCAACATAAGGGTTCCAAGTTACTGATGTTAATTGGAAAATACCAATAATTAAGAGTATTTTAACCCAAAGGATCCTCTCAAGGAGGCTTACTGAATGAAACATTCCTTTTGTCTACATCGTTTTAGCATTTTTCACAAGAGAATTAGGCCATCTATACATCAGACCGTTGTTACTTAGGAAACCATTAAAAAAAAATCCCTGTTGAGCAATGTTGCGATCTGTTTGCATCTTTCCAAAACATAAGCTTTGAACTGCCTCTTCCTTAGATTACTAGCGCTGCCTATGCCCAGGGACCACACAGAAGCGTCAGGCATACATGCAGACCACGCTGGTCACCTCCCAAGGCAGTCACATCCCCTATGCTAAACTGGTATTGGCTGCTGCCATCTGAGGCTAGTAGGCATGTGCACTGTGGTCCTTCATGCCCTGATGGCTGTGCTGATTAGCTCTCATAGTGCTGTTGGTGTGCCGTGTGTGCATTGTCCTACCCAGGGCAGTTGTAAGGTGCACACTTCAGAAGAGGAGGGGGGTCTCCATGAGGCATCCCAGCTTTTGGGTTCCGTGTTAGAGCTCTTTCTGGTTGTGGATGGCTCACAAAACAAAGCCGCTATTGCTATTTGGTTTTTAAATTTATTTTACCTATTTGTGTAGTTCCCAGTACTGTCCAGGGCCAAAGGCAGTTTTGAATAATCTATCAACTACAATATTTTTTAAAGGAAATGAATTTTGCTATTCCTTGCAGCCGTGAAGAAAACACTGCACCACCACAGGGCTGGCTCAGTTGTGTGGTGGCAGCCAGGCCAGTGTTTGAAGAACATCAGGTAGTGCAACCGGGACACAAAGCCTGGCAGCAAGGAAAGTAAAGCAGCCAAATCAAAGGCAGTTTTCTAATTTGATTTTAGTTTTTATCTACCCAAGACACTGCTGCTCACTTTGTGGGGCACATGAGAAACATCACTGAAAGCCTTTGTTCTTCAAGAGCAGATGTTCTTAGCCTCAGACACATTGCTCTGTTGAACTCCTGATGTGAACTGGTTTGAAGCAAGGAGCTTCTCAAGAGGGGCACCTCTGCTCCACTGTGTGCTTAAACGTGGTTTCATGTAGAAGAACATAGTCATCTTGGGAACTGAACTTTCAGTGTCTTAATGTTTTTATGGGTTTTTTGAATACTTGAGACTTGTGTTGACTTTTCTAAGTTCTGTGAAAATACTTTGCCTTGGGGTGTCTGGCAGAGGCAGCGAGCTGCCCTTTGTACTGCCTGATGGTACCGCTCTTCTTTTGCATTTGTGTCTTAAATGCTTAGACTGAAGACTGTCCCTGCATCTGCTCCTCTTGGTAGAAGAGATGGCCTCCCCTCCTCTCACCGCATATGGTTGTCATAGCAATAGGATGGCCTTCCTGTCCCCCCTGCATAGACCCTCATGCCTACTACCTAGTGCTGTGTGACCTGGGCCTGGCAGAGCAGCGGGAAGTTCATGGGCTCTGGGAAGGAGCTGCCCAATGGCAGTGATCACGCAGTTGGAGGCTGCGCACCCGTGTTTGAGCTGCACGTATGGCTAAGCCTGAGGCCGTGTAGGGCCCCCTGGCCCTGATTTACAGACTTGTACTAACACACGTGAGTTGGTATTTGTTAAACCTCATTTATAAAAGCTTTCTAAAAAATTGGCTTTGCCTCAGTATTTATTTGTTCGTACATGGGGTTTCCCTCTTCTTCCCAGCATTCTGTTAGGCAAGTGTACTTAAAATGGCATTGTCCCAGGTTGAGGGGCTGCCGTCACTGCCTACCTGAGGTGGAGAGGAGTCTGTTTACTCAGGCGCCGCTTGGCAGCCCCCTGTACCAGGGACGCCCCCATATCAGTCATGTGGACAATCCTCTGCCATATTTTGTTTATATTAACTCTGTTTATATTAAGAACACACAGAAACAGTAACCTTCTACTTTTGCTTCTTTAGTACTGGGATCAAAAAGTGAACCAACTAAATATCTTTTGGTCATCTTTGACAAAACGTAAGTGCTTTTTTAAAGGAACCAACAAAAGAGACTAACGCCGTTTCCCTGAGTGGGAACAGTCCTTTCAAGACTGCCTGCACAAATCCGCATCTGTGCTACTCTGGATGGGAAGTGTCTTCAAAGCAGGGTAGTGTTTATATACCAAGGACATATTTGGAGGCAGAGAGCTTCTGTCCAGGGACAAAGGCAGGGAGACAGGTAAACAGAACCTTATTTTTTTCTAACAGTAAATAAAGACTGGGTTTCATTATTCTTAAACATGTTAGGTAAATTTTAATAGCTACCAATAAAAGCCCTGTTCTAAAAATAGAAAAATTCCATTGAATACAAGGTTGTATTTATGTTTAACCTTTATTATTCCATTTTAGAAAGCTATACATTTTTTAAAAGTCTGCAATTCATAAATAATAGAAAAAAATATTACAATCAAAATTTTGCCATTAGATACATGAAACTATACACTGCAAGGAAATTCAAACCCAGCTAACAGAAGCCTGATTCATATAAAAGGAAGCTGATGTGTGTTCCTCAAGGACCAGAATAGAGTTTGTCAGAATGGACTTGATACTTTGAAATGAAGTTATATTAAATAACTAAGGCATTTCTCTGGTTTATAGTTTTTTACCAATTTTAGCAGCATGGGTGCTGGACTAGCAAGTGCTGGAATCACGGGACGGCTCTGCAGCCCCATGAAAAGCGCACTTGGGGGTGAGGCGACAGTCCTGGACGCTCCTGACATGCTGTTGCTAGTTGGCTGTTTTCAAGGGGATCTTGCGGAGCGACCTCCTACTGGGGGCTGCGTGGTCTTTATTTCTGGCCAGAGACTTCACATTCCACTGTGGAGGCTGTGGAGGCCTAGGGAAGGAAAAGATGCAATATTCCTGAAACAGAGAAAAAAAAACCCCAACAAAAACATCTACCTCAGGAGGAACGCTCAGTAAACTTACGGCTTCTCAGGCAATGATAAACACAAAATGTCATTTCCTTGACTCTGGGCTTCAGTTTTCTCTGAAAGGGAGTCAAACACAAACAAATTGAGATTTCCCAGAACTCCAAAGCCGCTCACGTGCCTGGCAGGAAGGGAACTTGCCTGTGGCTGAAGAAGGTGTCCGTGGCGTGCCTATGTAGCTGACTCCAGCTCCGAATGTGACATCACTGATGGTCTCTGGGGAGAGGGGGAAGCAGCACCATTAATGAAAAGCTGCCAAGAGACATACACCCAATAAAGGCGCCTGCGCAAGGTCACTCACAGGCTTCCTGCTCATTTCCTGTGGTCTCTTAGGCCAGGACCAAGCCTTGTCAGGACTTCTGTCCTCCTGGAAACTCACCCGTCTCCACATCCATGGTCTTCAGATTCCTCTTCCTCTGACCGCTGGCCCCAGACACTCCTGCGTCTCCCCTGCCCACTCTTCGTCTCTGCCTGTACCCCCGTGACCCACCCCAGCTCAGCCCTCCCCACCAGGTCCTGCTGCCTTCCCGAGGCACCTCCCTGCGACTGCCTGGAGATGCTGCACCCATCTCTGCCTGCTTTCCTCGGCACAGTCCTGCTGCACACCTATCACTCTGGCCTATCCACGCTGGCTGTGCCAGGTGCCAGCTGCTTCTCCGAGTCTAGTCCATACCCGAGTCTTGGCACTGCTGTCTCCTGTTCCTGCTCTCCTCACTGAGAACATCAGCTGCTTTCACTGTGACCTGGCTCAGGCGCCCCCCTTTCCAGGTCGCCCTGAGGAAGCAGGGGCAGAGCAGGGACCTGGAACCAGACTCTGGGTGTAAATTCTGGCTCTGGCTAAGAAACTCAGGTTTCTTTATCTCCAAAATGGGATACAAATGGACCTACCTCAGGGGAGTTGTCAGGATTAAATGAGTTATTTATGTTAAGTCTTTAACACAGTACTTGGTAGAAGGTAAGTGGCAAAGAAGTAGCAGCAGCTATTGTAACTTACCAGCCATCATGTCCTATGTCACTAGACCTAAGTTTGTTTCAAGATCTGGTGAGGTCCCTGGCCTGCTGAAGCATCCTGATGACTCAGCCTCTGAGCAAGCCTGCCCTGAGCCCCCTTTCTGAGCCCACCTGCTGCACAGTCACTGCAGGCCACCCATCTCCCATTATCATCCAGGAGGCCTGGTATAACCCCTGGTCTGCACACGTAGTTCCTTCTGCCTGGAGAGCCCTCCCTGACCGACTACAGCACCCCATTGCTTCTTTGCGCCTCCAATAGTGGTGCCCATGCCCCTCTCAGTGACTTTCTCCCTGCCAATGTATACTGTTCTGCATGAACTGCTGTCTCCACACTTGTCAGGGACACAGCCCAGGCTCAGCCTGCTGTCCTTCCTATGAGAACACCTGTGAAGTAAATAAGCTGCAGGATCCTCACCTCTCTCTTCAATGCCATAGCCTTTTAGGAGTACCCACTAGATCTCAGGAATACAAATTTTACCGTGCATCTGCCATGCCCTTTGTGTGAGGGCTACTCAGGCTACATGAACAGACAACACCAGAGAACAGTATTCTCTCACTGCCACAGACATAGCTCTGTTCCCGTGGTGGAAGTTACCCCCTTTACACATACATCCAGGGCACAAGCCTGTAGTTTTCACAAAAGCAACTCTGCAGTAGCTGTTAGATCTGCTGCACTTTGTAAGCATTTAGAATCAAAGGAGAAGCATCTTTGCTGCCCAAATTAACAGCAATAAGGACTTTCTAGCCTTCCCAATTCTCACTTAAAATACAGCTCTCCACTTAGCAAAGCCACTCTGCCCCTGCTGACACCTTGGGGTGCTGAAGCTGGGTAGCACTGTCCTGCCAGCTTCACAGCCTGGGGACCACTTCCTGACAGCCCCCCTAAGAGCTGTCACCAGACTCCATATTCATACACCACAGGGACGAGAGAACTGGGTATTCTCGGCTCATCTACTGATTCTTCCAGGAAGGAGAGCCAACAGGTGACCCTTCTGCAAGCATTTCTTCCTGGCTCCAGGTGAGGAGGTATCCCTAGGAATTCTACATTCAGGAGGCTAGGGAAGAAAAGTGCCTTCTTGCTCTGGGATACCTGGAGTCCTGTCTTCAGATCAGTGGTTACTCCACATACACCCATTTAAGTGGCATTAATGCAGCTGAGGGAAACCAACCCAAGACTGAAGCCAGACTCCTGGGAATGAGCAAAACCACAACCGGACATGCTCTCCCACTGCTGCGGCAGATGGTACCTAACTGCTGAAACAGTGGTGCTAGGGGAGACCCTGAGCCAGGAACACAGAACACACAGAAATGCAAAATCATCCACTGCTTTTAATGACAAGCTGTTATGATTCATTGTCATCTGAGGAGAGGTGAACGTTCTACTCATCTGTTAATCTCCCTTAAAAGGAGGACTTGGGTGAAGATTATCTGTCACCTGGTATGTATGTGAAGAGCATCACAGGTAACAGAACCACCAAACAAGTAGCTAGCACAGTCTGTGCCCAGGAAATCTGTCCTGACCAAATGCACGGCTGAATGAACGGCTCGCGGTTCTCTGCTGCTCCATCACTACCAACAAGAACAGCTTCATGCTCTCTCATCTTACTCTGATGCCGAAAGGAGTGCTGTGAGATGGCAGGAGGCGGCACACAGAAGCCCACTGGCAGCCTGGGTGCAAGGCGCCAGCGCGTAGCAAACATACTTCACACTGCCGTATTCACACACCCAGAGATGTGGGTGGGGTGCACTGGGGGGCTAAATGCGCATAAACCAACAGCAGGGCCAGACGGGGAACTGCTCAGGGGCACGGGGCCTACTGCTGATCCCTGGGGGCCGGGAGGACATCTAATCTTGTCTGAAGGGCCAGGGAGGGACTTTGGAAGGGTGACAAGGTGATGGGAAGTGAAGGCTCAAGGTGAGGACCTAGCATGTGAGAGCCTGGGTGAGCAGGGAGGGCTGGGCACAGAGCGTGGAGAAGATGGCAGGAGGCAGGCAGGGGCACCGCTGGGCCGGCCTACAGCATGCACTACAGATTTTGGACAGTAAGAATGTCTTCCTAGTCCAGTAAGTTTCTCAGATAATGGTTCTATGGGTTTTGAGACCAGAGGAAGCTATAAAACAAAGTAACTGGAAAAAGTTCTCTATACTTCTGAGTTCACCTCTACTTTGAAATAAAAGGGAAGAACACACATTAGAGGAAACTGCCCCACGGAATGAGGAGACACGGTGCCTGTGGGATATTCAACAGGCCAGCCACCATATTTAAGTCTCTGTTTGCTCTGGAGCTGAACCAATGGCACTGAGGGGCCTGCCAGGGCTGACATCTGATGGCCATGGAGAAGGGCTGGCTGGGCAAATCCAGTAACCTGGAGAGGTGGGAATGCTGGTGCGTCTGCTCTACAAAGCCCAGACTGGCACTGCCCAGAGAAGTTACCTGACAGATCTGTGCCCCAGCCTCACCACCTGTCAAATCAGGGTGCCTCACAGTGCCTGTGGGAAGTTTGGTGTCAAAGCACTTAGAAGAGCCCCTGACATTCAGCAGTGCTCAAATTACTGTAATTATTACCATTCAGTCTGACATGCACCATGATGGTGCTGAACGTAAGAGCCTCTATCCTCTCTTGCAACAGAAGGTTGTATTACAACTCTAGCAGAGCACAGAGACTGCAGGGGAGACCACTCACCTCCCAGCAG